ATCGTAACAATTGAAAACTTTTAAATTTTTAAAGAGGGTATATTTTTTATTTAAAAGAATTGCAAACAAATTATTTTAAATACATTTTTCAATAGCAATATTTTAGACTTTAACTATTTACCCCCTTATACACAAACACAATTTTATTTTATAAACGATTTATAAATCAAATTTCGTATGGAAATTTTGTTTTATAAAACTTTTGTTTATGAATAAGGGGGTAAAAATACAAGAAATTATTTTTAAAGTTTTGAATTCGAAATTGAAATTGATGTTATAATTTTAATTTAAAAAAAATAAAATCCAAAGATCAATTTATATTTTTCTTAAGGATCAAGCTGCGCTGAATCCGCTTAAAAAACATCTGTTACAATATCTTCTTTTTACAAGATATCGTAACCTAAAGTTTAAGATTAGATTTGAATTTTGTTTCTGATCTATCTAAAGCTTTAAACTTAAGTTCAACATAATTATTATCTTAAAAAGTATAATTTCCACATTGTAAATATATTGTTAAAAATACATGAGCATATCTATCTATCTATCTATCTATCTATCTATCTATCTATCTATCTATCTATCTATCTATCTATCTATCTATCTATCTATCTATCTATCTATCTATCTATCTATCTATCTATCTATCTATCTATCTATCTATCTATCTATCTATCTATCTATCTATCTATCTATCTATCTATCTATCTATCTATCTATCTATCTATCTATCTATCTATCTATCTATCTATCTATCTATCTATCTATTATCTATCTATCTATCTATCTATCTATCTATCTATCTATCTATCTATCTATCTATCTATCTATCTATCTATCTATCTATCTATCTATCTATCTATCTATCTATCTATCTATCTATCTATCTATTATCTATCTATCTATCTATCTATCTATCTATCTATCTATCTATCTATCTATCTATCTATCTATCTATCTATCTATCTATCTATCTATCTATCTATCTATCTATCTATCTATCTATCTATCTATCTATCTATCTATCTATCTATCTATCTATCTATCTATCTATCTATCTATCTATCTATCTATCTATCTATCTATCTATCTATCTATCTATCTATCTATCTATCTATCTATCTATCTATCTATCTATCTATCTATCTATCTATCTATCTATCTATCTATCTATCTATCTATCTATCTATCTATCTATCTATCTATCTATCTATCTATCTATCTATCTATCTATCTATCTATCTATCTATCTATCTATCTATCTATCTATCTATCTATCTATCTATCTATCTATCTATCTATCTATCTATCTATCTATCTATCTATCTATCTATCTATCTATCTATCTATCTATCTATCTATCTATCTATCTATCTATCTATCTATCTATCTATCTATCTATCTATCTATCTATCTATCTATCTATCTGTCTATCTATCTATCTATCTATCTATCTATCTATCTATTACTTTACATATTTAATTATAAATTACAAAAAATTTAAAAAAATAGAAATTGCAGACAATAAATGATTTAATTGCACTTAATTTATTCTAAATTTAATTGCAGTTTAAACTCAGTCAGAGCTCACGTTTAAATTAATTTCCTTTCAATAAGTCTTCACTTACCTACGACCATCAATGCCAGCTATTAGTACAACATCACAGAGCTGTTGATTTTCCAAATATAATTGCATACGTTTGAGGACACTTTCCGCATGATCGCGACAGCGAAAGAACTCATCTTGGCTGACGGACGAATTCAGGCTGCCCAAACTGTAATCACGGGTCAAAGATTCTGCATCGGTGAGTAAAGATAAACGGGCCGAGGAGGAATTTGTAGATTCACGACTGGGGCTCTCTTTGTTTGTTGCATTAGTAGTAGTAGTATTGGCCATGATCTTAATCAAGCACAAAACATTAGTTCTTTTAGCAGGAAAATGCAATGTGAATATTAAATGTGTTATCGTTTCCGGTTTTTTCTTTCTTTCTTCTTTATTTGATGAATTGGTTTATTAAATATATTTACTATAGACTTTTAAAAACTTTATGCATGTAGTATTTAGGTTATTTTTTGGTTTGTTGATTTTTTTTTTTAAATAATACAAAAATCAAGATTTCTTTGTACTAATTTTTATTAAAATTATTCTCAATAGACGCAAAATAAAATCTCACTGCTGTTAATGGTTGTATATGTAGTTCGCTGCTGGGTGGAAACGAATGCAAGAGGAAAGACAGTGCAATTTTTTTTGTGATTTTTGTGTTGCTATAATTTTTATTTAATTATGACCGTCGTGGTGAACGCACGTTAAAGAACTGAACCAGTACAACCAGCATTCTTAATGTGGTAAGCTTCGCAGTAAGTAGTGTTAGTAGTAACAGCAGCAACTGCACCTGGCTGCTTCTTACAATTGCTAGCTATAGTAGCTCTTGAGACAACAATGCACTGCTCCACGCCACTCTGCTCAACCAGCGAAATAAAGCAAAAAAAATCCAAAAGACAAAACACACACTCCCGTCTACCAATATGGTTGTATCTAGTAATCTGACAATGGAACTGCAACAGCAAGTAACATCGTCAACGAGATTGTAGTTGGTAATTTTTCTTAATATAATTTATGGTGCTTTTAGTAGATGGATCAGGAGGCGGTTACGTCCAGGGGTATCATACACCACAATAGTTGTTATTGTCTTTTCTTCTTTTTTTTTTTCACTATCTCATAAACAAGAGTCAAAGTAACAAAAAAAGACGCACTTGCACTTGATTAATAAATGGATGTACTAATAACAACGTCGTTGTAGATCTTGTTTTTTTTTTCTTGATTTTTTGCTTATTTATTTATTACACTCTCTTTCATCAGCAGTAGTTTTCTTTTTTGTTATATTTACTTTTGGGGCTTTTCTTTATTTTCTGTAATTATTTTATTTAAATTTCATTGTTTGCTTAATTTATACATGTTGTTTACTTTTTTCTTATTGTTCTTTTGTATCTAATTTGTCTGTATTCTGTTGTCAGTTGCTATTCTTTGTTTTGATGAATTTTTTTCTGCTTTATCCGTTTTGTTTATACATATTTTATTTACAAATTGTGAGTGATGCCAGACTGTTAAAATTGGTGATAGTCAGGGTATGCAACAAAAAGTTAGTAAAATTAATTAAAAAACGGAAATAAACCTATATTTTTTTATTGGATGGTTTATTTTGAATGAAACTATAGGAAAATTTTTGAAATTTGCTATGAATTTTTTTTAATAAAAATCCATGATACAACCATAGAAAGGTAGAATCAGTAGGGATCAGTTGTCAATTCTCTGTCTTGTTAAGTCAAACAAAAAAGAACTATTATTGTTTTATTATGATAAAAATCGTTAGTTTTTGTACAACAGCAAATAAATGTAAATATTAAGAAGTAAACTTTACATAGATTCTATAAATCGATTTTGGAACAATCGTGTTTTTGTCAAAAAAAAAGTCGAAAAATCTACTATTTTGTTCAAAAAAGTAAGTCGATAATTTTCCGCATAATTTCTATACAAATTTCTTAAAACCATAATTAGTTTTGAAAACTTAATTTCGCCCAGCATTTTTTAGAAAATATTTTTCGCCCTTGAAATGATTTTTGTCGTCCTAAACTAGATTTAGAGCTTATCGAATGACCAAGACATTCATTGGAAACTTGTTTTTCACACAAAACTTATCTGTGTAAGGTTTATTATACCCTACACCACTTCAGTGGGGAGCGTATATTGGGTTTGTGCTGATGTTTGTAACGCACAATAATATTGGTCCTATACCCACCTTAAAGTATACCAATCGGCTCAGAATCATTTTCTGAGTCGATTTAGCTATGTCAGTCCGTCTGTCCGTCCGTCCATGTAAACCTTGTAATCAAACTGCAGGTCGCAATTTTGAAGATAATTCAATGAAATTTGGTACATGATATTCTATTGTCACAGGGACGAAGCCTATTGAAAATGGTTAAGATCGTTTCATTATTTCACCTAGCCCCCATACATCTGAACCCCCGAATAGGGCTTTTATACTTTGTAATCAAACTACAGGTCGCAAATTTGGAGATAATTCAATGAAATTTGGCACATGATCTTTTATGGTACCGTAGACAAAGTCTATTGAAAATGGGTAACATCGGTCCATTATGTTACCTAGCCCCCCGTCTGAACCCCCCGAATAGGGCTTTTCAACTTTGTAATCAAACTACAGGTCGCAATTTTGGAGATAATTCAATGAAATTTGGCACATGATCTTTTATGGTACCGTAAACGAAGCCTGTTGAAAATGGTGTACATCGGTCCATTATTTCACCTAGCCCCCATACAACTGAAGATTTGATGACCCTCACGAATTCCATAATAATAGGTCCTCATATGACCCTAGCCCCTATGAAAAGCCCCCATCAAAATTTCACTTAAATGTCCACAATTTTATTCAACAATAAACGGCTTAAGTATGTATATCTGAGGCAAGGTACAATTCAATTTAAATGCTTTATTATGGCAAATAAATCACATTATATTTTTGTCAAAGGTGTAGGGATTATATGGTCGGCCTCGCCCGACTATAATTTCTTACTTGTTTTACAATTATATTTGTCGCTTACTTTTTCTACAGAAGCCAGTTATTTGCCAAAAATTCTTTGGAAACTTGTGTGTTGCCTATAATTTTGCAATTAATTGATTTGAACGATTTTCCTCCAGAAATTTGCTTGGCGCCTAAAACTTTTATAGGAACCTGACTGTCGCTCATAATTTTCTTTAGAACCTTGTATGTACAAATCCGATATTGTGGATCCTACTACCAACATTTGCAATATTTACAAAAATATATTTCAAGGACCTAAAGCTTTTGAGTGTTCGGATAAGGTCTTTAGAAAGGTATGTATGTTGGTGACTAATGTTTAATAGAAATAGAATGAATGCTGAAGATAGTTTTCTTTTGATATTATTAACGATGAGTCAATATCATTGAATCACAGACTATTCATTCTTATTTTTCTTATCGTATCGCTTAATTGAGATATTTTATTTAAAGAAATTTGTGTGTTTAGTTTCTGTTGTTGTTTTCTTCATTAGTGTTGTGTTTGACAAGATATTACATTAAGTTAAAAGTATAAGTATAATGCATGAGTGGGTATTTGTTTGCTATTTTTTTTTCATAAATAAAGTTTTTATTTATTGATTGGGTGAAGTATTACGTTTCGGTGTAGAGGGTGGTAGATCCATTGTTTTACAAACCCAGCCAGCAATATCAACTTCTTCAACCTCAGCCTTACGTATCCAAGCATGATTCTGTAAAGAAAATTTTCAAATAAAAAAACAATTTCTTAGAAATTTCTTAAATATTAAGTAGTTTACCAATAATGTTTTCAAATCAGCTCTTTCATCGGGATTTTTCTTTAAGCATATATCCACGAAATCTTTAAATTCACTGGTAAATTCATCATAATCCAAATTGGGTGGTGGTTCATTGACAATGTAATCCAATAACTCAAATATGGCCATAACTTTGGGTTCAACCACAGTCTGAGTACCATCCTCATTTTTCTTAAAAATGGCTTTAATGGTTTCAGCATCTGGTGGTGGTATGGGATACATGCCTATAGCCATTTCTACCAATGACAAACCCAAAGACCAAATATCTGACTGCACTGAGTAGTGGGTGCCCTGTAAACGTTCAGGCTGCAATTTGGAATGAAATTAGTACAAATTTTATGATTTTGAAATTAAATAACTTACCGACATATAACTTCGTGTGCCCACAAAGGAATTTGCCATAGAATCTATCAATTGACCCGATACACCAAAATCACAGATTTTTATTTCTCCACTGCTGTTTACTAGAATATTACTGGGCTTTACATCCCGATGCATGATGGCATGTTTCTCCCTTAAATAACTTAGACCTTTTAATACTGCTAAAGTTATTTTAGCCAATATGGGTTCGGGTATTTTGCCAGCTCTTTTGAGTATCAAATCCAAGGAACCACCATCCATATATTCCATACAAATACTGATTTCACCATCACTATAAAATGCTCCGTAGAAGCCCACTATATGAGGAAAATTGCACTCATGCAATACTTTAAGTTCACGTATAATTTGTTTCTTAATGGCGGGCTTTACTTCTAAATGTATCAATTTACGGGCCATTATCAATTGAGTGGGTATGTGACGCACCTTCATGACCACACCACCATTGCCGGAACCCAGTTCGCCTAGCTTTTCCAAATCATCATCTGACAACTCGCCGATCTTCTCCTTTTGGCTTAGGAACACCTTAATACGCTTACGGGCTGTGTCATCCATCTCCAATTCCTCCAGGGTTTCGGTCAGCGCCTCAATGCTCGTCTTCGGCTTGCCCAGCAAACTATGTTTTCTTTAATTAACTTTTTAATGAATTTTTGTGCAACAAAACAAAAAAGTATGCAAGCAAACAATGAAGAGGAAACTAATAAAGTCTTAAAACAGAAGTGGTAGATGTAGAGAAGATGTGTGGAAGATGTTGAAGTTACAATACTATTCTACTCGCACACACACTGAAAGGAGGATTAGTTATGGTTAACGTAGAAGAAGAGAAGATTTTACACAAAATTACAACGCGCTAGACATCAAGACAACAGCTCTAAATCACAACAAGACGTGACATCATAAAGTTAAAACAGAAAACATCACTGCACGTTCAATATTTTCCAAACTAAGTTAATAGAGTGATGACGATCTTCGATTTACCATATCTAGCTATTAAAATCATCTCGTGGCTGTTATTAATGGTTAAGAGAAAAACCCATTTCAATTTCAAAGATTTAAAGTGGAGTAAAGTGTAGGTTTATAAAAAAAAAAAAATCTGTTATTGTTGTTTTCCTAAAATACCCTTAGGTGATGACGATTGATTAATAAAATAACTTGTAGTCGGATCAGCCGACCATATGATACCTTACACCAGAGGGTCTAATTTTGAAGGCTAAATCTTTTAATGACCCGATTTGCTACGACTATTGACAACTCTACAGATTAGAATAAATACTAGACTAGAATGCATATAGACTGGACTTTAGACTAAACTATAGACTAGACTATATATTGGATTATGGACCAGACTATACTAGGCTATATACTTGACTGTTCTATTGTCAAGTGGCTATATACTTGACTGTTCTATTGTCAAGTATATAGCCTAGTATAATATAGTGCTATAATACTATAATTTTGGCTGTAGACTAGACTATAGACTAGGCCATAGACTAGTAGATAGACAAGCCTATAGTGTAGATTGAATGCCATAAAATACACTGTTTACTATATTATAGATTAGACCATAGACCATATTAGAGGTCAGACTCAACACTAGAATGTAGACAATGCTAGCCAATTTTAGTTGTTAATGTAAATTTATGATATGACTTTTTAGGAGACCCAGTGTTGAACTTAAACAAGACCTACATGGAGTCATAAGCAGAATTTTATGATTTACAATAGGTTTTTCAAAAAGCGTAGCTAAATATTTCAAATTTCTTTAAGGTATCTTACAAATAGAAACCCTGTACTTTGAATCTGGCAGACAGACATGTTACACTTTACTTTTAGTTGGTTAATATTTTCATTCAGCACAAACGCATAATACCCTCGGCCATTATAAAGGTGTAGGATATTCAAGTGCTTTTGGTATAGATTACAACAGTTAGATCATTCATTCCGTCATTCGTTATAGGTATGTACATATTTTTAATGCTAAATACAAAGATTGTGTTTATTTGATTTTTTAAAGCAATTTAAATGTGAAAAAACAACAGTAATGAAAGTAAAAATGAAGTTAATTTAAAAGAAAAATAATAAAATCAATATTTACTCTGTGCCAGAAGGAGTTTTAAACGGTGGTGTTGGTACCACTTGTGAAGAAGCTGCTGACGCATCCACTGGAGGCAGTGTTAAATTCAATTTGTTCTTCGACATTTTCCTTTAAATATTTTTGGCCACTAGTTGCTCCAAAAAGTTGTATTAAACCTTTTAATATTCGATCTTTTTTGTGCTTTCTTATTAAAAGTAATATATTTTTTTAGTTTTTCTAATTTCTTAACAATTTTAAACAAGTTACACCCAATTTTTTTTTTGTTTTTCTTTGTCTTCTTTATTCTGTTCTTCTTTTTTTCTTACAAAAAAAAAAAAAAAGGAAAAAAAATTCGCAAATGCAAAAACAGCCGGTAATGAGCCAAGACCAGCGCCGACAAACATTAGCAACGGCGGCGGCAGACCCTAAACACTACGCCGACGTTTAAAATCCACTTTAATTCGGCTGTTTTCAGCGGTATTTTTTTAGTTTTTACCACACATAAAATTAGCTCTAAAACTAAATTTTCTCTTGTATTAGTAAAAAACAGCTCATTTGATGTGATGTTACGGCGCTTAAAAGATTATTGTTGATAGTGACCGGTGAGGGAAGTTATTTTTTCTTAGTTTTTAAAATAATATGGTAACTTAGTTAAAAATATTTTTAAAGCAGTATGGCAGTACTATAGTAATAGTGGAGAGTTAACTTTCATATATAAAAGTTGATAGTTCTGAAAACCTAACAAATTTAAATGGGAATATAAAGATATATTTAACGGGTTTTAATTTAACTTATAAATGAAGTCCATCTAGAGAAGAATATTAAGTATGTATTTCCAAAGAATTTTCTGTTGACAAGAAATGTTTGGTATTCAAATAAAGGCAAATCAATCAAACAGAAAATAACACTGTGTGAAAAAATTACAAAACTATGAAAATATACTCTTTACGTTGGTACATTTTCTAACTTATATACTGTCTAGTGACTACGGTATAAGTCAAGTATATAGTCTATTTAGTTTTGTCTATAATCTAGTATATAGTCAAGTCTACAGTCTAGATATAGTCTATAGTCTAGTCTATAGTCTAGTTTATAGTCTAGTCTATAGTCTAGTCTATAGTCTAGTCTATAGTCTAGTCTATAGTCTAGTCTATAGTCTAGTCTATAGTCTAGTCTATAGTCTAGTCTATAGTCTAGTCTATAGTCTAGTCTATAGTCTAGTCTATAGTCTAGTCTATAGTCTAGTCTATAGTCTAGTCTATAGTCTAGTCTATAGTCTAGTCTATAGTCTAGTCTATAGTCTAGTCTATAGTCTAGTCTATAGTCTAGTCTATAGTCTAGTCTATAGTCTAGTCTATAGTCTAGTCTATAGTCTAGTCTATAGTCTAGTCTATAGTCTAGTCTAGTCTTCTATAGCTAGTCTAGTCTAGTCTATAGTCTAGTCTATAGTCTAGTCTATAGGCTGTAGTCTAGGCTGTAGTCTAGTCTATAGTCTAGTCTATAGTCTAGTCTAGCCTATAGTCTAGTCTAGCCTATAGTCTAGTCTATAGTCTAGTCTATAGTCTAGTCTATAGTCTAGTCTAGAGTCTAGCCTATAGTCTAGTCTATAGTCTAGTCTATAGCTAGTCTATAGCCTAGTCTATAGTCTATTCTAGGCTATTATATTTTATTCTAGTCTAGACTAGTCTGAAGTCTGGTCTATAGTCTAGTTTATAGTATAGTCCGAGGTCTATTCTATAGTCTTGTATCGTTTAGAATCTAGTCCATATATAGTTTAGTTTATAGCATACTCTGTGGTCATAGTCTGATATGTACCTAGTTAGTCTATAGTTTAGCGGGAAATATTTAGTACTCTAAAACCTAAAGAAGTATACTTTCTATAATATTAACTGGATTAGAACAAATTATAGGTATCTCATTTACATTTTATTAAGATAAAAAATAGTGTAATAATTCTAATAACATTAAAGAAAACGTTTTCTTTGGATCAGGCATTGTACTTGGAAATGTTTGTTATAGGATTTCATAAGGGCCCACTTCTGAAATTACTTGCTATAACAGTGGGGTTGTCATAGAAATTTCTATATTTAGGTTTCACTTTAATTCATTGAGTTTAATTTGAAATATTAAAATCTAACCTTTTTTTTCATTTATTTAACAGTTCAATAATTACAATTATTTCTACCTAGACCTTTCCCATTTTATTTTTTCATTTCTCAATAAAATGCGTGAAAATTAATTAATGTTAATTATTTACAAAAACTTGTATTTATCTTTAAATTTGTTCATGTTTCAACATTTTTATATCTATCACATTTTGGTAAAATCAATTTTTCTGCTTTGTTTTCATTTTATAACTCCGCCCTCTCTTAATAATAATACTCTTCCCTATTTCCAATAACAAACACTAGTTGTTACTTTCACTCACATGCTCAGCAAATGATAACTAAAAACAAACAGAGAAATATAAATATTACTGTTTTGTTTTGGTATGCGGTTGTTGTGTTGTTGTTTTAGTTAATTTTTTTCTCCATATGAGAGGAGTGTATGAGTGAGTGTGTATGTTCATGTAGCTGTTTTTTTTTTATAGGAGGATTAATGATAAGTCAATTAACTTGACTTTCTTAGTAGCCATATTGGCATTTATTTATATTTGAAAATACATACAGTTTTGCCTCCCAAAAAAAAACTGAAATAAAAAATGAAAAATAATTTAACAAAAACAATAATCAAAAATTGCCACACTAAAAAAAAACAAAAAACTTATAATTAATTAAAAATTATTTTGAAAAAACACCACAAACTTGTTTATCAGGTGTTGCTTAAATAACCTTGAAAAACAAAGTTTTTTTGTACATTTGTTATGGTGTTTGGGCTGCAATTAATCAATTTAATTATTAAAATCAATCAACATTTTTAATTAGCCATTTGAATGCAATAGAATAGATTTATTTTCAGTCAAAAAGTCAAAATATTAAATAAAAAATTATTTATTAGGTTTTAAGTTATTTAAAACAATAAATAAAAAAACGAATACAAGATAGGTATTTGTTAATAAATTTTATAAACAATTTTTATTTTCTAGATGACACTTTGCTGTTGGCTTAAAGCTATAAAATTATTTATGGTATTAAAACGAAAAAAAGCTAAAATTTGCATTGTTTAAAGCAAAAAGAAAAAAAAATGCATGAAATTTATTTAATTTACTTAAATTTTAAACGTAAGCAAATCGCTACGCTTTTTATAGACTTTGGTTTAACACGTTTACAATTTATTAATATAAAAAATGTTAATCGATAATAAAGATTTAAATTGTTAAAGAGGAATTTGCTTGTAATAAATTATAATTGCTCATCAAAGTATAATTGATTACAAGCGTTTTTAACACATCGTTATTATTTGTTTAAATTAAATTGTCATCGACATTAGGGGGAAAGGACTGAGGGGGAGAGAGTAGGAAGGAAGGGAGGGGGGAGACAGAAGCGCGGGCAGAAAGAAACCAGGGGGAGAAAGGCCAAAAACGGAGGGAGGAGGAGGAAGGCCCGGGCAGAGGAGGAAGGCCGCGTGGAGAGAAAGGGAAAAGGGAAAAAGGCGGGACGAGGAGAAAAGAGGAGGGGGGGGGGGGGGAGAGAACCAGGAGAGAAAGGGGAGCAAGCGGCCGAGCGAGCGAGCGAGCGAGCGAGCGAGCGAGCGAGCGAGCGAGCGAGCGAGCGAGCGAGCGAGAGAGCGAGCGAGCGAGCGAGCGAGCGAGCGAGCGAGCGAGCGAGCGAGCGAGCGAGCGAGCGAGCGAGCGAGAGAGCGAGCGAGCGAGCGAGGAGCGAGCGAGCGAGCGAGCGAGCGAGCGAGAGAGCGGAGCGAGCGAGGCGAGCGAGCGAGCGAGCGAGCGAGCGAGCGAGCGAGCGAGCGAGCGAGCGAGCGAGCGAGCGAGCGAGCGAGCGCGCGAGCGAGCGAGCGAGCGAGCGAGCGAGCGAGCGAGCGAGCGAGCGAGCGAGCAGAGAGAGCGAGCGAGCGAGCGAGGAGAGCGAGGAGCGAAGCGAGCGAGCGAGCGAGGCGATCGAGCGAGCTAGCGAGCGAGCGAGCGAGCGAGGAGCGCAGCGAGCGAGCGAGCGAGCGAGCGAGCGAGCGAGCGAGCGAGCGAGCGAGCGAGCGAGCGAGGAGCGAAGCGAGGCGAGCGAGCGAGCGAGCGAGGCGAGCGAGCGAGCGAGGAGCGAGCGAGCGAGCGAGCGAGCGAGCGAGGAGCGAGCGAGCGAGGAGCGAGCGGGGGGAGCGAGGAGCGAGCGAGCGAGCGAGCGAGCGAGCGAGCGAGCGAGCGAGCGAGCGAGCGAGCGAGCGAGCGAGCGGGAGCGGCGAGCGAGCGAGCGAGCTAGAGCGAGCGAGCGAGCGAGCGACGGATGCTAGCGAGCGAGCGAGCGAGCGAGCGAGCGAGCGAGCGAGCGAGCGAGCGAGCGAGCGAGCGAGCGAGCTAGCGAGCGAGGAGCGAGCGAGCGAGCGAGCGAGCGAGCGAGCGAGCGAGAGCGAGCGAGCGAGCGAGCGAGCGAGCGAGCGAGCGAGCGAGCGAGCGAGCGAGCGAGCGAGCGAGCGAGCGAGCGAGCGAGCGAGCAGCGAGCGAGCGAGCGAGCGAGCGAGCGAGCGAGCGAGCGAGCGAGCGAGCTGAGCGAAGCGAGCGAGCGAGCGAGCGAGCGAGCGAGCGAGCGAGCGAGCGAGCGAGCGAGCGAGCGAGCGAGCGAGCGAGCGAGCGAGCGAGCGTAGCGAGCGAGCGAGAGCGAGCGAGAGAGAGAGCGAGAGCGAGCGAGCAGCGAGCGAGCGAGCAGCGAGCGAGCGAGAGCGAGCGAGCGAGAGAGGAGCTATACTATCGATGATCTATTATCTGAGCTATCGATCGATCTATCTATCGATCGATCTATTATCTATCTATCTAAAAACTACACTAAGCTATAATGAGAATTCTTAAAACGGAGACGAATGCTCCTCCGAATAATCGGGTTGGCGTTATCGTTACACAAACAATCAAATACTTTCTGGGTTGAATCCGTTTCCTGTGTCAATGAGGACGAGGAATCGACTCAAAGTTTTGGTCTTTAAATCTTAAGCGTTTCAGTAAGACACTAAAAGAAAATCTAAAAAGAACAAAGGATTTTAGTTGAAATTTTTTGTATTTTTAATAAAAGCAAAAAACTAATGACGCATATGAATCCAGGAACTCATAACTCATTGATTGCGTAACATAACAAAGAGAAAATTATAAATTTTTGAGTTATTAAAATATATTACATTTAACCATAATATAATTTATTTTGCTTTTTTGCTCGTAAAACGTTTCTTTTAAAA